CGATCCCGGGTCTCCAGGATCACGCCCTGGGCCAAAGGCAGGCGCCAAACCGCTGCGCCACCCAGGGATCCCAGATTTTAATTATTTATTTTAGAGAGAGAGAGCAAGAGCAAGGGGAGGGACAGAGGGAGAGGACAAGCAGGCTCCCCGCAGAGCAAGAAGCCCAACATGAGCACTCTGGGATCATGGCCTGAGCTAAAGTCAGACACTTAACCAACTGAGCAACCCAGGCGCCCCCAAAACAAAATCTTTTTTGAAGAAGTCCACAGTGAGGTCCAACTCGTCACCCACCCGGATGGCTAGAAGCAAAGAGACAGACAATAGCAAGTGTTGGTGAGGATTTGGAGAAATCAGAACCCTCATCCACTGCTGGTGAGAACGGAAAATAGCACAGCTGCTTAGGAAAACAGTTTGGCAATGTTACAGGATTCCTTCTCCTTCAGTGCCAGGGCTTCCTGGTCACAGGAAGAGTGAAGAGGCCGACCAGATGAAGATTGGTGGGCAGCAAAGCAAAGTTTATTGAGCGATAGTACAAAGCTCCCAAAGAGGGAGGAGACCCAAGAGGGTTGTCCCCAGAGTTCCTAAGTCTAGGGGCTTTTATGGGCTTGGGAGCAGGCTGGTTTAATCTCATCAACCCTCCCCAAGCATGTCACCCCATCAGGTTTTGTCATCTACCTATCATGTGAGCAAAAGTGGATGGCTCCTGCCAGGGTGAAGTAAAACCCTTTTAAGGGTGGCTTCCTCTCGGGGTGCCTGGCGGCCCCTTGTCCCTGCCTGCCTTTCTTCCAGCTATCCTTCATTAGCAGTATCTGAAACGGTTAAACATAGAGTTATGGTATAATCTGGCAATTCCATTCCTGGGTATATACCTAAAAAAAAAATAGAAACCTACATCCACACAAAAACTTGTATGTAAATGTTCATAGTAACACTATTCACAATAGCCCAAAGAGGAAATAGTTAATTCATAATTGTCAATCAGTTCGATCCATAAAATAGCCAATCCGTTCAATCAATTCATCAGAGCCAAAAGTGGAAACAACCGATAAATGGATGGATGAACGTTGATGACATCATTCTCGGTGAAAAAAGCCAGGTACAAAGGACTACAAATATATGATTATAAATATATGATTTATATATTTATTTATTATTTATATATATTTATAAATACAATTTATGTATGTATATTTATATATTCCATTTGAATGCAATGTCCAGAACAGGCAAATCCATACAGACAAAAAGCAGATTAGTGGTTGCCTGGGGCTGAGGCTTTGGGAGAAATAAAGACCAACTGCTGATTGGTGGGAAGTTTCCTTTCAGGGTGATGTAAGGGCTCTAACTTGACGATGGTGATGGTTGCAGAACTCTTAGTATCTTCAGAGCCACCGAACTGTACACTTTAAATGAGTGGTTTGTGAATTATATATCACCCACACTGTTACAGTTAAAATAAAGACTGTGTACTGTACGAGTCCATTTATAGAACATTCCCCGTCTAGAAATGGGTGGGTGTGAACACAAAGAGGTAGCGGGAGGGAGTTCTTTTTTAGTGATGAAACAGATCTATATCTCAAATACAGGAATTTCTATACAGGATCTATACAAGCTGCAAACACAAGTGAATGCAGGGTGTTTTTTTTTTTTTTTAATTTAAAAAGTGATGAAAAGTGAGTAAGGCCTATAGAACAGTAATGGGCAATGCCAATCCCCTGGCTTTGAAACTGTGTCACAGTTTCAAATAAGATGTCATGGTGGTGGTGGGGGGGGTGAGGTGAAGGGCACACAGGACTCTCTGTACTAATTGTGCCGTGTCCTGCGAGCCTATAATTATGTTGAGGTAAGAATTTTAAAATAAAATAGAATTTTCCGAAATTGGAATGCTCTCTCCTGAGAAATGATGATTTCTCCATTGCTAGAGTTGGAAAAAAGGTTGTGTGACTCTGTACCAGGCTGGTAAGAAATATCGTTAGTTCGTCCGAGGGCTGGCGATCAGAAAGGCTTTTCTAGAGCAAAGTTTGGATCTGTCTCTACAAGCCAAGGGACCCGGCCTGGATTTCAAGGCCTGCACGCGTGACCTGGAATGTGGAATTCTCCCAGAAGTTCCTGGAAGGGCCAGCTGCCCTCAGTGCTCCAAGTGTCCCAAAGCTCGCTGTCTCCCAAGGCGGACACAAGCCCCCAGGTCAGCTCTCTCTGAGCAAACCCAGCCCCAACCTCAGCTCTTACGTAATGAAGCTGGGGGTAGACAGGGAGCCGGGGAGAGGCTCTTTCCAGAAACATCTCTGATAAGACACAGAGCAACTTCCAGCTCCAGGAGCCATTTGAAGATAGTGGCCAAGTTTTACTCACTTTTTAAATTTTACCCCATTAAAAATAAAATAAAAATAAAAATAAAAAAAATAAATAAATAAATAAATAAATAAATAAATAAATAAATAAATAAATTCACCCCATTGCCTTATCCAGAACAAGAGAAATGGCTTCTGGAAGAAGACCTCTTAATTTTACTCTCAGACCCCAGTGGGTCTCAACTCTGGCTACACATTCCAGCTTTTAAAACATTTGCTATTTCCAGTTCCACACTAGAGCAGTTCAAAGTAGATTTTGTTCTTGTTTTTCTTGCTTTCCTATTTCCCGGCATCCTCAATGTCATTCTGGCATCACTCACCCCCAGTGGTGAGCATCTGAAGGATGCTTCCCACAATGACAAAAGTCAGCAGCTATCAATCCCCAGGAGGATTTGGTTAAATGTGATTGATGTCAACTCAGTAACCAGTTTTGGGCTTACCTAAGCTTCCATCAATTTATTCCATCTATTTTACTTTTTTAAGATTTATTTGAAAGAGAAAGAGAGCCATGGGTTTCAGGTAGAGCATGAGTTAGCGGTCTCGTCTGTTTCTGATTTCAGTGGTTGGGGTCTATAGGGGAGCAAGGGGGCTTGCCCGCACGTGTCCCTATGTCTCATCGCACCTTCTTGAGGCGCCGAAGATGTTTTGCAATGACCCGAACATTCCGATCGCCAGCTCAGGAAAGCCGCAGTAGCAACAGAATGCCTGGAAGACCAAACCCCACACGTCCCCTGCCCTGCCCTCGATCACATGCTGAACACATACCCCCCACCCTCACCTGGGACCCCTTGCTCTCTGCCCTCTCTGTCGCACCTGTCCCAGATACCAGCACCCCAAATAGGTCTCTCCTTCTCTTTTCCAAACCTTTGTCTCTTGAGTTATTGGCTTCTCTTGCAACAAGCTTATCTGAGTTTGGTCAGCCACAGTGTTGGCAAACCCAGCCAGGAGCTATGCTTGGATCTGTCCAGCTCCCAGGATTCCCCAGGATGGGGCAGTTCGCCTTGGCAGTGCCAGGGCTCACCCGCTCACGTCCTGAGTTAGTGCCCCTTATAGACCGTTGGGTAACAGAGACACACGGAAAGCATAAACCCCAAAGAGCAAAAGTTGTACAGTGAACAGGAAATCTACTTCCCACCTTGGATCCCCAGAGGCCACCCTTGGTCCCAGCTTATGTTCCCTCCTGGACAACACACGCCTATATTCCTAGTGGAGATGCATTTTTAGAAGACAGAACTCTCGTGTGCTTTGGTGTGTTGTGTATGGTTCTGGAAAGGAAGATAAATTTAGGATATACTGCACTTTGTCTACTGCACAGTGTGTATTTGCATAGCAAAAGCTCCGTTTCTCAAACTTATTTGAACCCAGAACTGCTCTTTTGGGGGAGATTCCTTTTATTTTTTTTACCTTATTTTTTATTTTTATAAATTTATTTTTTATTGGTGTTCAGAGATTCCTTTTTTAAAATAATTTTTTTTATTCACTTGAGAGAGAGAGTGCACATGTATGAGTGAGAGCACGAGCAGGGGGGAGGAGCAGAGGCCCAGAGAGTAGGGAGCCCAACACAGGACTCTGGGATCATGACCCGAAGGCAGATGCTTAACCGACTGAGCCACCCAGGCGCCCTTGAGGAGGACCCGTAAAGGCATCTTCTAGTACTGGCAGTTTCTGATGCCGCATTTAGGCGATGGCTCATTCCAGCAGGGTCATAGTTGATAAATTAGCCAGCGTGTCCTCATTCCTGGCCATTCCTAGGCCGTCGTGACCTTTCCCCTACGAGAGCATAAGCTGTAGCCTCCTGGGCTCAGAACCCCAGAGAAAGGAGGAGGCCAGCAGCAACACAAAAATATCCATCCTGGATTTCTGGCTCGCAGATTACATCTTGGAGGCAACTGGATGAGAGATAAAGGTTTTGAGTTTCAAAAGCCAAAGCCCCAAGGGACTCAGGGCAGGCAGCTTATGGCAGAAACCAGAGATTTGGGTGAATGCAAGGGAGTAATTTCTTCCCTGCCCCGGGAGACCCTCTGCATTGAGGAAGGGATCAAAAAGAAGCACAGAGGGAGACGGGGCATGGCTGAGTGGCCCCGAGAAGGGGAGTGGTACGGGCTGGACTCCCCACGTAAGTGTGGAAATCTAGAAGCGAAAGGACCCAGGCTCATCTCCCCCTTGGGAACTCTGAGGGGAACCCAAACCCCACGGCCAAGCTCCAAGTCCAGGATGGCACAAAATGTATTCCCTGGAACAGGATTCTGCTGCAATGGGTTTCTCCCCAGTAAGGGATTTACATGCTTCAAAAAAAATTCTTTTTAATTTAATTCCCATGTAGTTAACATACAGTGTTCCGTTAGTTTCAGGTGTACAACATAGTAATCCAGCATTTCCCTGCATCGCCCGGTGTTCCCCACTGACTAGTGCACCCCTTAGGCCCCTTCCCCTGGGACCCCACACCCCCACCCATCTCCCCTTAGGGAACCATGAGTCTTTTCTCTAGAGTTAAGAGTCTTTTTTTGGGTTTGTCTCTCTGTTGGTATTTTTTCCCCCTTTGCTCATTTGTTTTGCTTCTTAAGTCCCACATATGAGTGAAATCATACAGTATTTGTCTTTCTTTGACTGGCATATTTCACTTAGCATGAAACTCTCTAGGTCCATCCATAAAATATGGAACCCCACAAATTTGCACGTCATCCTGGCTCAGGGTCCGTGCTAATCTTCTCTGCATCATTCCCAATATAGTTCTAACTTTTAGTGTAGCAAAGCAAAGCCTGAAATTTATTTCCCCTTAAAAGTAAAAGTCCAGGTTGGCTGTCCAGGGCTGGAAGCGTACTCCACGCCATGTAGCACCCAGGCTCCCCTATGTTGCTGCTTCGTCTCCCGTGGCCTCGACATCAGAGTCCAAGTGCTGGGTAGCAGGATGGAGGAAGAGACAGTGACAAAGCAAAGGGAACCCACAGGCTGTCTCCTAAGAAAGGTCTCTGGAAGCACCTGCATATCTCCAGCACGGCCACTCAACAGGACGTAAGTCACCTGGTATTATGGGTTGGATCGTATCCCTCAAAAGGATACACTGAAGTCCTAATCCCCACACCTGTGAGTATGACCTCATTTGGAAATAAGATCTTTGCAGATGTAATCAGGTTAAGATGAGGTCATTAAGGGTGGGCCCTAACCCCATGTGATCGATGGCCCTGTAAGAAGAGAGACACAGACAGTGGGAGACACGTAGGGAGAAGACAGCATGTGATGCTGGAGGCAGATTTTCGCCCCCAAGCCGAGGAACTCATGGAATGCCAGCAAGCATCAGAAGCTGGATGAGGCAAGAAAGGATTCCTCTCCTAGCGCCTCCAGAGAGAGGATGGGGTCCTGCAACACCTTGATTTCGGACCTCTAGCCTCCAGAACTCTAACACAATAAATCTGGTCGTTTCAAGCAACCCAGCCTGTGGGACAAAGTGGACAATAGGGAGGCCACGGTGGCTTTCGAGGGGGAAAATGATGTGAGGAGGGTGGTTCTACAGAGACCGTCTCCCCCCTGTGCCATTACAATACTTAGCGGCTGGTGTAGAAGCCAGTGGGGGCCAGATCTTGAAGCACCCTGAATGGCAGGCTCCCGAGTCCTCCGAGGGTGGGAAATACCCACAGTGAGATGCCCTCACCATCAGCAGATCTTTCTAGGCTCCTTCTGCTTGTGTATTACACAAATGAGCCAAAGACGGCCTCCACATGTCAGTCCCTAGGCTGCTGTTCCTCGGCTGTGGGCTGAGACCCATCAGCTCCAAAGCCCACCCCATCCCTGGGGCAAAACTCAAATTTTTTACACATCCACTTACTTCAAAAATAGCTCAAACAGATTTTTAACCATTTAGAGCTGGCCTGCTTTTGCACACTTTGCAAGACACAGCTCACCCCATATCTGCGAGCCAGAGAGAGGACAGTCTGATAGTTATAAACCCCAAGCTGCCCTTTGACCCAGGCTCTCTCCACCCTGCTGCTGAGCACCAGTAGCTAGACAAGGAAGCCCCCTCTGTGAGTCCCACATCCCTGGGGGCTCCCCTGCCTGCCTCTGCTGGATGGTGGCTCATTGAGCTCACTTAGAGCTTCTGATGGTTTCATGCTATGAGAGGGTCACCGCCCCCCACCCGCCCCGCCTCCAGAGGGCAAACTTGTTAAATCTTGTGTGTTACTGCCCCTCATGGTCATGTTTTCCCTGGGCCAGCCCCCAAACCCCTTGAACCTCGACACCATACCCCTCTTACTCCTTCCTGAGACGTTGGCTCAGGATAGGGCTGAGGCTCGAACTGAGGCCTCATTCTTCCTGGGTGAATCTTCCCATCTGAGACCAAAGGAGAGAGACTGTTCTGGGGCAGAGAGGATGGACACTACACAGGGCCCGGAGAGTTGGCCCTGAGGCCTCAGTCCCTACCTAGTACCAGGGAAGGGTAGTGTGGGGGATATGGTCAGGATGTCATCAAGAAAGGATACACTTGTTAGTGAAAAGCCAGACACACACACTGTATGGTTTCACTCTTGCTATCAGATTTTTTTAAAAAACGATGTTATTATTTATTTGAGAGAAAGAGATAGTGAGAGAGAGAATAAGCTGGGAGAAAGGGGAGAAGCAGGCTCCCTGCTGAGCTGGGAGCCCAATGTGGGGCTCAATCTCAGGACCCTGGGTTATGACCTGAGCCCAAGGTAGATGCTTAACTGACTGAGCCACCCAGGTCCCTCAGATTTTATTTATTTATTTGAGAGAGAGAGAGAGAGAGGCGCGGGGAGGGGCAGAGGGGAAGAAGCAGAGTTCCCGCTGAGCAGAGAGCCTGATGCCAGCTCTATCCCAGGACCCTGGGATCATGACCTGAGCCAAAGGTAGATGCTTAATGAACCCAGACACCCCTCTTATCTTAAAAAATCACAGAGTAGAAAAGTGGCTGCAGGAGCTGGGGTGTGGGAGGAGATAGGGAGAGTTGGTAAAGAGATATAAACTTTCAGCTCTAAGATCAGTAGGATCTGAGGAGCATTATAGTGTAAAACACGGGGATCCCTGGGTGGCTCAGCAGTTTGGCGGGGCCTTAGGCCCAAGGTGTGATCCTGGAGCCCTGGGATCAAGTCTTGAGTTGGGCTCCCTGCATGGAGCCTGCTTCTCCCTCTGCCTCTCTCTCTCTCTCTCTCTCTCTCTGTGTGTGTCTCTCATGAATAAATAAAATCTTTTTAAAAAATGTAAAACATGGTGACCACATTGAAAACACTGTATTGTGTTACTGAAGTTTGCTAAGAGAGTAGACTGTAAATGTTCCCACATAAAAGAGAGAGAGAGAGAGAAGAAAGACAAGCATGTGAGGTGATGAATGTGTCAATTAACTACGTGGGGGGAATCCTTCCACAACGTGTATGTATGTCAACTCTCTGCGATGTACACTTCAAATATCTTACAATTGTAGGTGCTGATTAAACCTCAACAAAGCTATTTTTTTTTAAGGGGAGGGGAGGGTTACCCTCTTTTAGGGCCATGTCTGGCCATGATCTCCTCACTGCCTTCAGCACAAAGGGGCACTTTCAGCGCCGTCCTGGTCTCGAGTGGAGAATGCAGGTTCGAAGGCCGCCCCGAGTGCCATCTCCCGGAGGGCAGGAGCCTCCTGTCTTCCCCAGGGCCGCACCTGCAGTCCTGGGAACTGGGCCTGGCTCACAGGGGGCCCTTGCACGCGCTGAGCAAGGGACGCAGGGAGGCAGGAGGGGCTTCCCTGCAGGGAGCCTCTCGAGCTGGGTTGAGCCGGGTTCGGGCGCCTGCTAAGGAACCTTCTGGGCCGAGGAACCCTTGACAGGGACACCCGCCTTCCTCACCCCAACCACAAATACCAGGGAGGAGGTGCCTGCCACGAGGAAGGCGCACGCCGGCCTCTGCGGCTTAGAGACCCAGGTCTGCGGCAGAGGAAGGAGGCGGCGGGCATTCGGGCTCCGTCCTTCACCGCGGGGCTGGCGGGCGCCCCCGGCCCCCAGGCGTCCCCTAGGAGTCCCCCGCCCTCCGCTCCCCTGCACCTGCAGCCTGAGCCCCACCTTCCCCGCAAGTCAGCGACCCGACTCCTCGCCCAGACTTCTCCGGCCCTGCTCCCGGGGAGGAGCAGGAGGGATGCGATGTGGGGGGGGGGTGAGTCGGGAGAACCCGAGAGGAGGTGCCTGCAGGACGTCCGGGGGACCGGGAGCCCTGCCGCCCCCGCCCCGCGCCCCCTTCCTCCACGCCCCGCGCCCGCCCTCCTGCCCAACCCCCAGCCCGAGGCTCCAGCCCCGACCGCCCACCCAGCGACTGCTGACGTCACGGGGCTCTCGCCATCTCATTGGTCGAAATTTCTCTCCCCCTTGCGTGGGAAGGAGGGGAGCTGTGGTCCCGGGTGACGCGGGCAGCGGTTTCCATGGCGACTGCCGCCGGGCCGCGAGGAGGGAACCGACCTGGCGTCCCCGGCTCCAGGAGACGGGTCCCGGGCAGAGGCGGTGCATCCGTAGGGCCTGGAAGCCGGAAGCCGGATACCCCCCGGCTCGGGCTCGGGGTCGGGCTCGGCCGCGGAGTGGGGGTGGGGGTGGGGGCGGGGGAGATGGGGTGGGGTGGAGATGAGGGTGGGGTGGGGTTAGAAGTGGAGGTGGGGTGGGGGCGGGGGCGGGGTGTCCCCAGCCTGCAGCCGGGCTGCGAGTGCGCCCCGCCAGCTTTGTTCTCGCTGTGGCATCTCCTCTGCGCATTTTTTCCTTATGTGGAACCAGAGGGAGAGGCCGAGACACAGGCAGCGGGAGATCCCGATGCGGGACTCGATCCCAGGACCCCAGGATCACGCCCCAGAGAGAAGGGACTGGCTGTCCGCGCCGCTGCGCCGGCACCTGCAGCTTCACGACGAGAGCTTCCCACTAACCGGGAGCCCAGCGTCCCAGACCCAGCTCTGCCTCTGGCCTCCGCGGCCTCATCTGTAAAATGGGGATGTTGCGGTCCGGGCCGCGGCTTGGGGGTGCAGGGGCATTGGCGCCCTTGCGGCTTGGCGCCTCCAGCGGGGCTCTCTCACCTGCCAGGTGTCTTTAAGGGGTTCGAGGTGAAGCGACTTGCCCCGGCTGGCACAGCGGGACGAGTGGCTGAGTCAGAACACGGGTCATTTCCAGCGCTTCTCGCCGGCAAGGCACCCCCTGCGGCTCCTCATTTGCAGACAGGAAGGTGAATCCCTCCGCGGTGGGGTGTCCCGGAGACTGTGAAACCACGGAGAGAAGATGCCAAGCCCCTGGCTCTTAAGAAATGGTCATTATGATGTCTTTAATTTTTAGTAAAGAAAATGGATTTTTGTTAAATGTGTATTCTGCGTGGGGTCCCCAGGCTCATTCTGTTACCTGTTTGCCCCTTTGGCGGGTGTGGCTTCCGGTGCTTTTGCCTCCCCCAACCCTCACGTCTTATTCCCAGGGACTCAGCTTGCTTCTCTCTCCTCCTGATCATTTCATTATCCCCTCCACCACCCCCAGCTGTACCCCAACTTGCTGCCATCTCATAGATTTACTGGTTCCAAAGAAAAGGCATAGACTTTGCCATAATTCATAGTTTTGGGGGTTTTAAAGATTTTGTTTATTTATTCATGAGAGACACAGAGAAAGAGGCAGAGACACAGGCAGAGGGAGAAGCAGGCTCATACAGGGAGCCCGATGTGGGACTTGATCCCAGGACCCTGGGATCTCATCCTGAGCTGAAGGCAGATGCTCAACCACTGAGCCACCCAGGTGACCCTAATTCATAGTTTTGT